GCAAGGATGCTGAGGGAGGCAGATGGCTGCTTGTCTAACATAGCAAAGCCTGTTTAAACAGTGATGTCCCTGATGGCTGTGTTTCAATTCAATTTATCCCGTTCCCAGTCCTTTAGGAGTTATTTGTTCTTCCACGCCAGTTAAAACTACCCTCTGCCAAGGTGCGAGAGAGGCGTTTCTGCTGTGATTCTCCAGCTGCTGCACTTTGCAGACCATTTCCGGAGAAAGAATCTCATTCTCCTTTCCCTCCAAACATACACATCCACTGTTGCTTAGCTCTCATTCTACTTACCATCACAGAGGACCCAGAGATCCTTCAGTTTGAAAATTACTACAGTGACAGAAATACGAAAAGGCATTTCTTTTTCAGTTCTAGAAATTATCAATATTAAGTATCAAATCAATATTCTTCAGTGAGGTTATTTGCTTCCTAGAAATTGCAGTCCTTGCTAAAGGACAGAAAACAGAGTCTATTGGTTTTGTATATAAAATACCCAGCTGCTTACTGAAAAAAAACAGGCAGCACCTGTATCAGAGTTTTGGCATGAAACTGTGAACTTTAGCTTGTCCAGTGCAATGAATCAGATTGCTAGATTTTTAACCTTCTGTCAGACATATGTTTCTCCCCTCTCACGTCTCAGAGGGCATAAACTTATCCTAGCTTGTCAAGTCAATTCTGAAACACACAGCATCAATAGAATCTCCTAGTGTTTCACATGAGCAGCAATGAGGAGATATCTATTTTTAGAACATTAATGCCAGCGAATAAAGCTATCTTGACGGCTTTGAGATCCTGCCTTTAGTCACACAGTAAACAGTCAAAATGCATGACAGGCAGTGAAGTGACTCATTCTAGTTAGTAGAACCCTACCAAAGGGTTTACAGAGGTAATCTCTATCATGCTCGATATTTGACATCTTTGCTAAAATTCCTGATTAGTCTCAGTTGTGTGTTTTTATGAGTACGGGCACCTGCACTGTAAGAACTTGATTAAGATGTTGATACACTGTGCAGTCTGAGTATCATATAAGCCCTCCAGTAGTCACAACATGAGTGATGACATTCAGCCACCATCTAGCTCATTCAATTTTAAAGCAGTGAAGTGAGAAATCCAGTTAGCAGTCGAGAACAGAAATCAGAAACCTTTTTCCAAAATACTAATAGTTGCTGCAGTGACCTTCCTCCTTGTCTGTATTAACATACTTGCATTAGTAGAAAGACAACTAGGATCGTAAATTGAATTCGCTTTGGCTAAGACTGGCAGTAGTCTTTGGAAGTTATATAGCAATCCTTTGAAATGCATTATTATGTAAATTAACCTCAAACTCTTCAAGGGTATGAGATCCAGCTTCTCCTCCTGCCTTCTCCAAATAACAGGAGAGATGAAAGCGAAGCCCTGGTGGTAGAACCACCTTTATTTAACATTTTGCCGTCCTTGCTGTGCAGAGAAGTGGATGTTGTGAAGGTCAGTCAGCAGTCTGGAACAGAATTGCAACCACAACTCTTTAGCCAGCTGGGGAGTTTTCCCACCTCTCCTGCCCTTGAGGAGTTTGCCTGGCAGCTACACAAGTTATTCATACTACGCACTGGAAGAAATATTGCAGCCTTAGTTCTTGTGCACCATGTACAGTAAGTGAAACACACAGTGTATTAACTTAGGCAACAGACACACTGTTTATAAATCATGGACATATTGTGACATACAGGAGGATTTCAATTAGATACAAGGAAGAAATTTTTTACATTGAGGGTGGTGAGGCACTGGAACAGGTTGCCCAGAGAAGTTGTGGATGCCCCATCCCTGGAAGTGTTCATGCCAGGTTGGATGAGGCTTTGAGCAACCTGGTGTAGTGAAGGGTGCAGGGGGGTTGGAACTAGATGGTCTTTGAGGTCCCTTGCAACCCTAACCATTCTATGATTCTATGATAAAGCTAGTATCATCTATTACTACAGAAAAAACTGCAGATAAAAGAGAAACACAAGGCCTGAGTGATCGTCATGGCTGTGAAGAGTGGTAGCTGATACTCATTACCTTTTGATAAGTTCACCACCTGTAAAACTGTAAAAAAAACAATGAAACCTAGCAGTACTCTAAAAACTTAGAAGAAAAAGCTATTGAAACTGGCTCGTGACTCTTAACTACAAACTAGAAGTTGTACTTTGAAAAACTCAGACAAAAAACACAGAACATCTGTCATAAAGTTACTTTCATGTCTCCTACTTTCATACCTGTGTTAAGAAGGAATATGGCAATCAGAAATACTCATACTTGACAACAGTCATGAATCTCAAAGCAACAGCCTTCTGTACTACATACATACAGCAAACAAAAAACCCTGCAGGGCTAACAAAAAAACTTATTGACTGGTGACTGTAATATACTGAGTAGTACACATAATAAATAGTGTGAAGGAATACGTAGTTGTGAACTAGCAAATTAATGAATCAGAGTCCCAAGGAATAAGTGTTTATCTGGTCTGGTAGCTACTCTTAATTTTGTACCACCATATCTTCAGTTCTGTTGTTAGTTGGCAAACATGCTCATTTTGGTGAGCAAGAAGGCAAAGTGAGGCTTTAGGACATCACTAACCAAGAACTAAGCAGGTGCAATGACACATATGCTTATCTTGGTACTTCCTCCTGTTATTCCTGCAAGGACAATACATTTAATGTAGGATGTCTAAATCTGGCAACAGCAGATATTTTAAGAAATACCTGGACTTGGTTATAAATACCACATTTCTAGAAAATCTACTTAAATTACAGCATAAAATAGCAAAAGCAGAATGTGCTAGTACCTGGTTCTTATTTTTTATGCTTAGTACAAAAAGAAAGATCAGAATTTCTTCTCTTGACTATCCCACCAAACACTTGAATAAAAAAGGAGTTTGAGATATAGCTAATTCCATGCTGTCAAAGACGACTGAATGATCTTCTATACAGAAACATAAAACGAAGAGAATCTGAAGTAACTAAAGGCATTAATTCAAACAATTTGTTTAAATATCATTAAACTGTTCAGTAGAAATTGATATTCAGAACTAAAGCAGCCTTGATTTGTTTTATCTCAATTTATTTCTCAAGCGCATTGTGGCCACTTCAATCCTGAATGCACAAATCTGTAATATTAATCTGATTTTGAGTAACACACTTCAACAATTAATTCAGATATATTCACTTAAGTATTCATGTTTCCTAAGTAACCGAAAAAAAAGGAATGCAAAACGATAAATGCATTTTATCTGAAGAACCATTTGTTACTATTATACAGAAGAGAGATAAAAAAGCAGTTTTCTCCTAAAAAAAAAATCAGGTGAGATCAGTGTATAGTGTATGCATTTTCGACATTTACAGGAATCCAGTGATAGTTATGAGTCTGAAGTCTCCTCTGTCAAGGTGCCCTGATTTTAATATTGCAATATTGTTGTAGCACTTGAAAGGCAAACATTGAGATGCATATTGTTACCTATAGTAATATCATACCTATAATCATAGAATCATAGAATGGTTAGGGTTGAAAAGACCCTCAAAGATCATCTAGTTCCAACTCCCCTGCCATGGGCAGGGACACCCTCCACTACACCAGGTTGCCCAAATCCTCATCCAACCTGACCTTGAACACTTCCAGGGATGGGGCATCTACAACTTCTCTGGGCAACCTGTTCCAGTGCCTCACCACCCTCAGAGTGAAAAATTTTTTTCTTATATCCAATCTAAATCTCCCCTCTTTCAGTTCAAATCCATTGCCTCTTGTCCTATCACTACATGCCCTTGTAAAAAGTCCCTCTCCAGCTTTCCTGTAGGCCTCCTTTAAGTACTGGAAGGCTGCAATAAGATCACCCTGGATCATACCTATAACTTCATGAATGGGAATTTGAGGGAAAATAAAAAGAGAGATTAAGTGATCCATCCATAGCTAAGCCATAGATAGTGACTTAATTAGAGACAGAATGTAGATTCACTCCTGTTCCTAACTTTTTCTAACAGGCTTCAGACTTCCCCTAGCAATGCATGAACTGCCTCACAAAAAGAAATTACCCCACAGACTGAAGACTTTCATTACCAACACTCTGTCATTTAGTCAGTAGTCACTTCTGAAGAGGGAGGAGAAATGGAGAAATAAAATACCATTATACCATTAGAGACATCACTGCACTCTGGCCATATTTAGTTGTGCTTTTAAACCCGTGACATTAAGTGAATTAGTCTCCCTCCAATGCGAGATCAATTATTTCAGAAAGGTATCCAACGTGTGAGGGAACAGTGGGCTTTATTTATATGTGTAAGAGATACAGGCTACACAACAAGGAAGATCTAGCCACATGTCATCACTTACTTTTAGGAACTCCAGTCACAGACCAGGATCATACTGTGTTACAATTTGGCAGAGATACAGAACCATCTTAGTGCACCTGATTCTGGTCTTCCACTTCAGCACAGAAAGACTGCAAGGTTCGTATCCAAACCTCAGAGACCACTGGAAAGGCACCATTGTTAAAATGTATTTGTCTTTGCAGAAAGCTGCAGATACTCAAAAAGAAGAAATCAAAGGCCTCCAAGTTGCTGGCATTAAAGAGATAACAGGAAGTCAAGTTTACAGATGGGATTTCAGATTTGATGGAAACTTAAAAGAACCAAAGCATACTAATTTTACTCCAGTTCTGCACAATACCAGGCAATACACTTTCTGGTGAGAAATACTTGGTTGAAAGATGTAAATTAAATAATTTAGTCTCTCATCCCATTGTATGCTATCACCTGGTAAGTTCGCAAAAGAGGAAAATCAGGCAGAAAGTAAGTGACCTGCCCATAATAGCTATTCAGTTACCCTGAAAAGTAGGAGTATTTGAGGCATGCTTACTTGGGGAGAAGAGACTTTATTGCTGCAATTTCATAAGGCACGATTGCTCTCCACAGACATTTGTCTTTTGTAATTCCTTCACTGGAAAAGCTATTTGTTAATAGCAGCTAAAAGTACACCTTGATGAGGAGAATAAATGGCTGATAAAATACCTATAAAAAAGATTAATATCTTGGAGATTAAAAAAATCCCTGAAATAACTTAGGGCATTTCAGCAAGAGTCTGAAGAGGTGTTCCTCTGAAGTCACGTAAGCCCCAAGGAAACTACAGCAAATGCAGAAGGAGAGTAAATTCCTCTTTTGCCCCACATGTTGTCACCTGCAAGTCAGGAGTGGCTTCACACCACAGAGCCGAAATTCAAATCAAAGCAGTTGCTAAGATCTCCACTGCTGAAACCCAATCACAGCAGAAACTTACTCACTTCATGCACCAGAAAAAATAGTTTCTGTGAGAGTTTTTCTTCTATTTCAAGGCAAACATTTGGAGCAAGGTAAGAATAATTCACAGTCTCAACTTTCAATGCAATTTTCAAATCAAGCTCTTACAAAGATGGGTCAGTGTTGCCTTGTCCTCTTGAGAAAAATCTCATGCATATAGTCCCAAAATCTTCCTTGATGTGACTCATTGCGATGAATCATAGCAGTGAGAGCCTCACCCTGATCAAGGCTTTGCCAGTAATCCTGCAGCCACATCTCTTTCCAACTGAAACAAAAAAAAGAGACGCCACCATAAACCACTAAAAACACAAAGGAATCTGCAGCTGTAATAGCACTAAAATATTTTTTTTTCCACCTAAGAGGAAAACAGGGCCAGAGATGGTCATGACAAAGTATGTTGTTATCATGTCATTGTGCTCCAAGTCATTTAAAGAAACTCGCTATAAAAATTCTCTACAGAAAATAGAAGTTTACTATTAGTTTTACAACATTCTAGAAGTATCAGCATGCAATTGTAATGTTAACCAAAGAGACTAAATTATTAATTGTAGAGAATAAAAATAAAATCTAGCACAAATCCTTATACAATTTTGAGAGTAGCCTTCCATGGCCAGTATGCATATAACAGCCTAAGAATAATTTTTTTTTTCCAAGATAAACCATTTAACAATTAGAGAATGACAGTTACTCATTACAAACTCAGGTTATCCATGGCAGAGACAAAAAAATCATTATATCCCTCAACCCTGACTCTATTCTTTATCTCCAGACTACATGGCCAAGTATACACTTTTTCAATGCATACATTCTCAAATTTTCATAGCACAGACTATATCACTGGAATTTTCAGCAATTCCCTTCCCATTCATGCTCATGTGGACTGCTTCTCTCATTTGTGTTATATCAAACTATGGCAATAATTTCTTTCACTCTTCTCCATTATATCTGCTACCCAGCCACATTAAGCCCATCACAAATTTTGGAAATAAGGACCAAACATGATGCTCTTTTTAATCTATCCATATGAGTTACCCAATACTTGTGAACTTATACAGAGCTTTTTGCTCCTTCTCCCTCTCAATCATAGAAATAAGTACAATGCCTTCTGCATTCTCTCTATATACCATAAATTAAAGCAAGCATGGCTGCACCGCCCAGAAACAGCTCTCACCGACTACTCCAGGAAGAGTAAAAGAAATGCACAACATGCCAGAGTTGCTTTCTGGTGGACCAGCACAAAACTCGTATGCCTGGGGAATTAGTTTTCTGTGGTCAACAGCATCATCTGTGGTGGGACATTTCTGTAGTGTATACCAACGGAGATCTCAAAATAAACCTTTAGGGGGCCTACATTCTCTTTGGACTTCCAAAGAGGATCATAGACAGAGGCTTACTTCTGCATTAAAAAAGAGTCTGCCAACAGGTTCCTGTGTAAAATGCACTTGAGCATACCATGAGATCACTTTGCTTGCCAGCTAAATTCATTAACCTTTGTTCAAGGACTGCCAACATGAGTTACTTCTTTTTAACAGCACTGAATAAGGGCACACGTTAAAAATTATTATACTTGCATTAAGTATTAGATACAAGACTAAGTGGCAGTAGGTAACAGAAAAAAGAAAATGTTTTCCAGCTGAACTCTATGGAAACAACACAGAAAGGAATTCCAGTATCCAAGTGAAGACCTTTTTCAAAAACACTAAATAAGAACACCTCAGTGTTTTTCTTTTTACATTGCCATTATTGGTTTCTAAAAAAATAATTTCACTCTGATGCTCTAACTTGGAAAAAATTGGTACCCAGAATGAACGGGACTGTACAAATATCCTGAAACTACCAACACATATCTGAAATGTATACATGGCAAGCCTGATACACTTCTAAGCTGGTTTTCCTTTTGTCATAAATAAACTGTGACATCAACATAAAACGAAACTAGCAAAACCAGGATGGTTTAGAAACATTCCTTTCTCAAAGGTACACTGGCTTCTCTGTTCTCATGCTACCACAAATGAGAACTGTAAGTAACTGGCAAGGTATTGCCACTTAGTCTTCTTGTAGCTATTCCAATGCCCTACTTTGGGAAAATGAATCCTTATCAATGAAACAGACCAAACATTTCTCTTCACAATGGTGGGAGCCTAAGAATAATTGGAGATTTTGGTTCCTGCTAAACAGATATTCTACTAATCAGTAGCACTGTAACTCACTATTTTCTGTACAAAGCAGCCAAGAATTCAATAGATTGTAGTGACTGACCCACAACATAACACATACAAATGGTTGTTCTACAGCCTTTCTTCTTAAGCTCACTTGGGTGTGAAGCCTAGAAGTCCAAATACAAGCGAGGCTACAAGCATAAGGATTTAGGAACCATGTCTCCACACTCAGAGCTAAAGGACAGCAAGGTGAAGGTATAATAATGTGCTCTGGCTACACATACCTACATACAGAGAGATTCTGATGTAACAGTTCTGTCAATTCAGCACATTCATTCATCGACCCTAAAACCAAATTACATCTGGGAAAAAGGGTTACAGAGCATGCAGATGCGTAGGGTAACCTTATTGTAATTGGGTATTGCTCTAAAAATATATAAGCTACAATTGCCTTTGCTGTTCTCTGAGTTCCAGAAGCCTCCAGAACACAAAGTCGCAGTGTATGTTTATAGTCAGACCTTGTATGTTGCATATATTCTACCATTTGTAACCCCACTAGGCCTGCATCATTTTTCCACAATATGTTTTGTAAAGCAACAAAACAAACGATCGACTGGCTCAGCAGACAATCATCGACACTGATCATACTGTTGACATAATATTACTGCCAAACTCTGACAAAATATGAGCATGTTTAGCTAATGCCTTGGCGGCAATTTGATGTTACTGTCGCACCATTTACAATTCTAAGTAATCATGTTCAATTTTGGAGATAGAAACAGTGAAAGCTCAAATGCTTACGAGACAGAAACCACTGTACTTCACCGGAGATGCCCTCATTCATGCCTCAGAAGGTACAGATACATATCCTTTTAAAGTGGATAGCAGACAACGTAACAGCTTCCCTGGTACAATTTTTCCAGACACATTTCAAGTCTATCAACAGTGGGAGAATAACATACTATGATTCAGTGAGACATGGAAACTTCTATGGGATGCAAGTACAGCTTGGATGATGGATAAACTGTCCAAAACTCCTTGCTGATGACCACTGCACAGAACGATGGAGTACCTGAGCTTGCAAGTAGCACAGGCACCCATGCTGTGCCTTCAAAGATATTTCTCTACTGCCATCTGCAGCTCAAGCAAAAGAAAATCCATGAAAAAGTAGAGAATACTCAGAGTAGGATGCTGCATGGCATGCTACAAGGGAAAAGCACGTTTTGCTACCGAGACTCAAAAAAGGTATTACTATAAAAAAGCTCCAATGAATCAATCAACCAACAGAAAACAAAGGATTATGGGCCCTGTTTACTTACAAGCATAACTTTTCAATTAGTCAACATGAGAATTAATTGTACTGTGAAAAATGCTTTTTAATGTCAAACATCACAAGTTTTCTGAAATAGACATTTCATAAACAAGCTGAATGACCTCAGGCTTATATTTTTTTAATTTCAGTTGGTAGTTTTTAAAAGCATCCAAACATAGGACAAAGTAGTTCCCCACACTTCACAAAATCCTTCATACATTTTATAGACATATAATGCAATAAAAACTTTTTTAGAGCTTCATAGCCACATAGAACTTACTTCTGGGTTAGCATACTTGAAACCATGTATTCTACATTTTCAACGCACTGTTTCTTCTAACATTTTAATGCTCAATTCCTATTAACAAAGCTGTGAACGGATACAAACTGTGATAGAGCATATTGACAACTTCCTTCTGGACAGTGCATGAGATCGTCTCAACGTTTTCAAAGAGTTATTAATTTAATACTACAGTGGGACTGACATCAGAACACTGAAATATTTCATGACAGATAGCTATGAACAATAGCCAAGATCTGCTATGGCTGAGGGTTTATCTTTATGATGGCTTATAGAAAGTGAATTGTATGCACTTGAATAATTACCTGAACAGACAGAAATTGCTGCAGGTAATGAAAAGAAGAATTACAAACCTGGAGGATCCGAACATGTTACACCTGTAATACACACTGAAAAAAGCGCACACATGGTTTATGAACTGCAAGAACCCTTCCTTTTAGCAACTGCAACTTCAAATACTGTCAATGGAAAAACTCAAGGTTTGGGAACCCAAGCACTGACTTGTTTTGTACCCACGCATATGTAAATACTAAGTAGACCATGCAAACAAAACTCTATTCTGCCTGTCAAAAGTGGTTACTGAGGGTTGGTGTGGTTAGTTCCCTGCTGACAGATGTCAGGGCAGCTCACGCTAGAGATGGCTGACACTGGGCTATAGTCCTGGGAGATTCCAGCAACACCAGCAATCCCTGTGCACAAAGGGGACAAGGAACTACTCAGCCTATTCTCTGTCCTGCATGGTCCCTCTCCTAAATAAATGCAACGGTGTCCTTCAACACAAGCCAGAATTTTGTCACACAAAACAACAAAAATTCTTGTAAAGTATTCTAGCTGAGCCTAACTTCTGCTCTGATGTCACCAGCAGTTAACCAGACCTTCGCTGAACAGTGACAACACCATTCTTAACACAGTACTTCGTAATGAGGTATAGAGCTTCTTTCACACAAGGGCTACCAAGTGCTTTGCCATCACTGTATTGAAAAACATCCCTCCTTCTCCAAACAAACAAATAAACAAAAAAAGAGGCTAAGATAGACAAAGGTTAACCATATTGCCCAAGGTCACAGAGCATTTTAACAGGCTGTTAGGAGTGTTTCACTCCTCAGTGAATCACTAACCCATACCACCATCCAAGTCTCTTTTTCAGCCTCGGTGTTACAAAGTATTAGCAGAACTACCATACCACTCACAAGACATAATATAAAGTGTGACGGGAGATTTATTAAGAGATGCTTTAAGTACAAGGCATTATTAAAAGTTACAGCTACTATTATTTGATACCTTTTTTTCTTCAAAAAGCATAGTATTGGTACATTACCTGTCTCCTCCAGAGAGGTCTTCAACATTCCCAAACCCAGGGGTTGGCATAGGACATCCCATGTGCTTGAACTGAGCTATGTGAGGTCTGGGAGCTGGAATTTTCCCATGAGACTTTCTGTGTTCCTGCTCCTCTTTGACCCGGGTGTTCTCCCTGTCACAGATGAAACACTCGAAGCCATTCAGGTAATTGGGCAGAGTCATGTCATTCACTCCCCACTCCCGCTTCTCCAAGCTCTCTAGCAAGAACTGGTTTTTGATTCCACCAGGGTTTTTATACTCTAGATACTTCATATATTCCTCCCCATTCTTGTCCAGGAAATCAAGATACTTTGCCAGCTCTTGGGGGCTGTCAAAGTCATCTATAAGAATGATGGAGAGGTTGTTTGGCATCCAGTCCCGCACAGTCGGGGAGCCTCGGTATACTGGGACAGCACCCAAGTGCATTGGACGCCACAGCTTCTCTGTCATGTAGTCATCACATATGGCATTCTCCAAGGCCAGATGAAACTTGTACCTGGCGATAAAAGTCATAAATTCAGAATCTTCTGTAGTGGCTGTAGAAGTGTCTCTCAGTCGCTCACTAGGAAGCTCACGGTTATGCAGGCATTTCCCATAGGAGTCAACCTAAAACAAGAAGCAACATCTTTACAGAGTGATTTGTTTGCCCTGAGCTTGTTTTCAGAGCTTGTAGTTCTCGTCAATTTCCTAACTTTGATCAGTTCCTAGTTACCTTAGTTCAGCTTCACTTTCACTCCAAGCTCTTTCCCTTGTGACTATTCCTAAAATCCTAGTTCTAACAGCTTTAGAGGTAACTGAGTGCTTGGTTTCAAAAGCAGCATCAATTATGCCACAGATTGAGGGAGGTGGGGGCAGTGCAGCGAAAGGAAGATGTCACCCCGAAACGTATTTATTAGCAGATAAATCAGAAATGGAGAGGTGAGGAAGGGCATTCAACTCTATGTTAATTTAGAAGTCATATTTCTACTGAACAGAGACCCAGTACTTTTCCAAAAGGTTATTACACACAGCTCCTGCCAGTCTCAGCAGGCTAGCAAAAATATTCCATTTGTTAGACTGAGAAAAATTTATGCAGGGACCTAAAAGAATAAGTCTAGAAACAAAAGACAGTACAGTTGATCTGGAATCTGCTTCATGCTTTGACAATATACAGTCATATTTTAAAAATTATTTTGTCTTTTCTTCACTACTGAGTACACAATGAACTTGCAAAATAAATTAATTACTACCAACAGAAACAGCAGAAACTACTAGGAAAAAATGTTTCAGATAAAGCCTAAAACCAGATGCTTTTTTCCCCCTAATCTACTATCCTACAGAATTTTTAAGGAAAAAAAGCACTAAACATTTTTTCTGTTTGAAAGAAACTACTTTATTTCAGGTTATGAAGCTACTCTCCAGCAGCTGTGCCCCAGCAGTACAAACCACCAGAGAAATGACATGGTCCCACCACAGGGGAGATAAAGAGCAGATTTTCGAAACACAGCAACTTGTCTTTGCATTGCACACCTGCACTTTCAAACGGGAGCAAGACTCGTAAACGGACAGCCTTCCTGCACACCAGCTTAAAGCTCCAGAGATTTCATCAACTCCTAGCGCTTGGTCCACAAGGCCAAGCTCACTCGGGCTTAGCCCAACTTGCGACTGACCCCGAGTCTGGCCAACTCCACAACTAACAACTACCACCAGGCCTACCTACTGGCACGCGGTGTAGTCTAGACCACGCTTTGGGAAGGAACACAACTAGTTTTTCTGTCCAGCTCGTAGTCAGCATGCATCCCGTTACGCTTCGCGTCTTGGCTAAAAACAAGGACAAACAAGCCCCATTAAACAGAGGAGCCGGAGGAGGGCGGCCAGGCGGGCTCGGCTCCCGCAGCAGCGCCGCGCCACAGCCCGCCCGCGCAGCCCGCCCACCTGGATGTACTTCATGAGCTCCCGCACGTAGCGGTCCCGGTCCGAGGGCACGTCGCAGTGGGACTGCATGTAGAGCACCGGGGCGTAGCCCCTCCGCCGCCACGCGTCCTTCTCGGCCAGGGGCACGGCCGGGCCCCGCA